TCTTACATTTGAAACAGAGGTCCTACTTTAGAACTTTAAATATAGAAGAATCGTTTTGACAATCTTCAAAGTACATGAATGTTCTCGAAAAATTAAACGACCAAAGAAACTTTTTGAATTAAGATATTCCTACTTTGTGGCAAGGGAGGAGGGGAATCGTGGAGCATAGAAAAGATTTTATCCTTCCTCACTGAGCGAAATATTCCTAAAAATAAAATAGTTCCAGAAGGGTGTGATCAGGGTACTCTCAATTGACCCTTTTCGTTCCCGTGATGGCCAATTGGGCCCAATTGTAGTTCAGCAATGCGTGTTATTAATACCAATACACTTTTTATAAGAACAACTTTATAAGAACACAAGCCTCAAAATTTGACAAATTTAGAACAAGAGGCAAATCTACTGTAAATTGTAATTCTGAACAGTGGAGATTTATCTAAAAAACTAGGAGATTTACGATGAATTTTTCAAACTTGTCGGCACATAACGAATGTTTCACTCACATTGTTGGCAAACGAGGCCTAAAGCCACCACAGAGCACACTAGCTAGCAATACAACTGTTTACACGAAAATCCAAGAAAAAAATTAAGAACAATCTAGCCTCAGATTTTCGAAAGAATTAAAAACAGTCAGCCTCAACTTCAATTTACTGGTTCTTATAAAAATAGATATAGATGTTCGCTTTGTTAAATGCTTAAAAATAGGAGCTATGCCATGCAGTTCAGTAAAACATTAGCAAGGAAAAACTGCTAGAAATCTTTCTACCCCCAGAGATGGAAGAGCTTGGTGACCCGAAGAAATAAGATCTGAGATCTTTAGGGTTATAAATTTGATACGTATGAAAAATGTACTGATAGCAGTGTGTCATTTGAGCCAACATGATTTTAGTTCAATTAGTCATTTGACTGCTCCCAATTTACCTACAGCAATCAGCCAGAATTCAAAAGCGCACAAGTAAAACTTTGGAAATGGTTTTGAAAAAAGCAAACATTTTTCAACATGACTTAAGCTTTTCGTCTAACACCTTTCGGGGTATTATATGACAGATAAAAGACAGAAAAAATCAAGAAGAAAATATATACCAAGTTTTATGTGGATCGAAATAGGTCAATCAGAAAAACGTGAGCACCTGACCGGCATAGTTACGCAATTAGTACCGCGTGCCTATAGGAAATAGTTAGCTACCACTTGTGCGCAAGGGTGAAAAAAGCTCCTTCTGTCAATGCAATACAAGCTTGTTCTTTCTGTAAAACTAAACATTGATGCAAATGGTTAAGGATCTTATTTCTTGATTTCGAGATTGAAAAGCACACAAGTTAAGCTTTTTGTACAGTGCAAGAAGTGCCACATTGTGCGATATGATATCACCTACAAATAATATGAATCTCAAAAAAATTCATAGGGCAATACATGTCTCCAATGCCATTTTCAGCGAAACTTTACATCATTCAACAGAACCGAAAGCGAGAAGAATCACTTAATTCATTCTCTTTGCTCTAAAATAGAAGCACATAGAACCAGCCTGCCCGACGTGGCTAACTGATTAACATAAATACATGTAACCTAAGCGGCCATTCTAGACAGTCACAGGAACAAATATTTTGTCAACTTTTATCTATTTTTCTTAAAAAGCCTGTAATTATCATTAATTTTTATTTAAGCCAGCTTTGAGGTTTAAGTTCGGTTAATAAAAAATCAATATCCCTGAAAGGTTAATCTAGGTTTAATCAACATGAAATTTCTTGGAATATTCCCCTTAAACCGTATCAAATTTGAAAAAATAATACTACTTCAAGAATATATGAACAAAATTTATAGTATTATTATGAAAAAGTGAAAACATGCTAGCAGTAGATGTGGCAGGCCTGGTTCTAAGTCCAGGCAATAAAATTCAAATATTTCAAACTGAAATCGTTATTCTTAAAGGTAATTGTGATTTACGACACCCCCCGTTCCCTTTGCAATACAGGCAATTTGTCTCAATGACCAATAAGCTCTGAATAGCCAGTACAAAGTAAACATCAAGGTCTTTCTTTAGAACTGGCTTACCAAGGTCAGAGGGCAGTTACATTTCAGAAGCGCCGTATCGGTTTAACCTTGACCTCACGCGTGGTGTGTAGAACAGAAGGTTTCTAAGCTGCAACTCTGAGTTTCACATTTTGTGGGATCGTCAGGCAACCGTTCTACACAACCTACCTAACCTTATACGGTTTCGCCTTTAAACTGACCTTTGACCTCGAACACCATAGGATTAAGGTATAATGTTTGATGAACGCTTTTAACTTTACTTCATGAAGTTGAGGACGTTTCGTGCGCCTTGAAATAAAAGGTCTTTGTAGGTATTGGGGCTTCCAAAACAACAGAGCATGCACTAGATTGGGAGTCAAATCATTTTTATTATACTAAAATCCAATAGCACTTTAATTCAGTGCATGGGTTCAAACACTTTTTGGATAAAATTGAAAAGTGAGCCCCTGGCGGTCGTTGTCTAAGACGTAGACTTATGGAAATTTGAAAATAGTTCACAATTTTTCAGCAATAAGCATTCTATGCCACTGGATACCATTGTGTAACAGCCCGGCGAGCTTTTTCTACAATGGGAAAAAGGCAAATATGACAGGCAGGGGCGTCGTGACCGAGTGGTGCGGGGGGTGTCACATCCCCCAATGGTATCTCAATAGGAGATTTCAGGTAAAACTCGCTCGGTGGAAGAAACACTTTAGGTATTTCAGAGACCTTCATGTCGTTAAATCAATAAATGATCAAGCCAAGGTAGTTGCTCCGTTGGTTGAATATGACATTCCTTGATATGAATGAAAGGAAACAAACTAATGATTTGAAGATTTGAAGATTTCTTTTTGGCACTAAATCTAAAAATCCAGGCCCTCTTTAGGTAAAATTATGCCTTGTGTCCATTTCCCTTAAAGTTTCTCGATAGAAGCGTCAATTGCAATTAACTATGAGCTCCATATTTTTTTTAACATTCAGAAGGCATGCTAAGATGGAAAGAGGGATCTGAATTGACAACCAGGGCTGCTATTTACCTAGCTTTAGAAGTAACCAAAGCCGACACCAGTAGTGATATAGAGGAGGGGGGGGGCGTGCGGACATTAAAATATTTCTGACGACATACAATACATAGAATACTACGTATCTATATCTATTTGTCAGTTTACATTTGCTAGGTATAGGTCTCGTGGCCCACTGTGCAACCAAATTTGCTATATTTTAAATGTAGTTGTTCTGTTGCTGAAGTGAAAGCATTCTTAAGTAAAATTCAAAAGGTTACAACTTAAAAAATTAGACAACGTTATCAACACAACATGATAGCACGGAAACCAGGCTACATGACACAATAATGCTAAAAAGTCGATTGTTTTCAACTAATAATCTTCTTCTCTTTTTCATGGCTGCAAACTTTTCCAAACCCTCAAGGAGACTTGGGGTCATCATATTTGACATACCTCTAGTAACATTTAGAATGCTCTTCTTTATGAAACCTGGCTTCTTCATCAAGGTTTCTTTTGGGAGGGAGGGGGACAAATTTTTACAAATTCCCGTCGAAATGTTAAAACCTTCGGTCCATTTCTGTGCATATTCCATCCAGAATCGAAAAAGGCAGCTCTTTGCTTGTTATTCGTACTCGGACCAGTCTCCATTTTTCCAAGTAGACATGGGCCTACATTTAAAATCTCTGCCGCACATTCTGGTGTCACGGGTGCTTCGCTGACAAAGACATCTTCAGCAAAAAGCATAAATCTGAATATACATCTTAATTATCCTTTTTGCCAGTTGCTTCATGCTTCCTACTGTAAATCCATATCCTTTGCCCGTCCCGGTATAGAGATTTGAGAAAAAAATTTAGGAAAGTCCGTTACCATCATATGAAAATGAAATTCGCGAATTATACACAGTAAGATTGACAAAATGTATTGCAGAGGTTTGTGACAGCAACTGAAGAATTTCAGGCAAACATTTTCTAACCAGGTAGATTTGTAGTCCACACCCCCCCCCCAACAAGGCTTGCCTCGTGACGGTCCTGATGACAGAGGCAGCAAAAATAGTCTTGGACTGACAGGGGCTGGGATTTCGAGTCATAGAGGACTGGGCACAAATATTTCAGTCTGCCAGGGGGTGGGAAAATGGAAACTGTGCCGGTCATTGGATGTTTCCAAAGGGGACTCCCCAGTCTGGAAATTTCTCACAGTGGATGGTTTTCACTTGGCACATTACAAGGGGTGTCACTGGGGTTGCCAGTTTATTTTTTGAGCAGTTGTTCTGGAAATGTAAAAGGGCTGCGACTTGATGTTCTTTATAATAGCTTTTCTTGCCCAATACTTTCACGAAAATTATTAACAGGATTATCAGGGACTTCATTTGACATCGGCATCCACATACCATACCTAGTTGTGACACTGAATTAAACAACCAATTCACATTAACGGTAGCCTTGAAGAACTTCTGCATATTTTATTTTATGGGAAAATGGTTTTCGGAATCAGAATCTTCTGAGTTTGAGAATTTCAGTCTTTGTCTTCAGAATAAAAAGTGCCTGCCATGGCATCGTTCTATCCGAAATTTCCGCATCTTCATCGAGTCTCATTTGAACCACAAATCATCATATTCGTGTTTTTTGTAGATATTTTCTTTTTATAAATTATAAGAGGTCCGGGAAAGGCCTTCAATTCTTTAATCATACATAAATTAATTCAATCGCGAAAATTTTTTAGGCTTGACTGAGACAAATAATTGCCCTTTTTACAATTTTTAATTAGCCTGCAAAAATTGAACATCGAAACATCAAACATTTGACATACATTTTGTAGTTATATTCATAGATTGGCTCATTGGACAGTTCTAAGCTATAATAAATAAACACAAATTTCTTAAAGTTTAAAAATGACTGCTTGAAATGTGTATCGAAAACCAAAATAATAGAATACAAGATCAACAAGAATGTCTGGAACAAACAGTAAAACTGAAAGAGATGTAAACAAGAAAATTCCAAAATTCTATGTTTTGAAAATACATGTAGACAAAATAAAAGAGATAGTGCCCAAGGGATTGGCTTTCATATCAAACACAACTGTCGAAACGTTAATCACAATTTTAACCTTTATCACAATAACGTTTATCATATTTTATCATAATAACTTTACTAGACCTAAGTTCATTTCACTTCTCTAATATTTAGTCACCTTCACAGAAATATATCGTAGTAGCTGTCCCTGCAATTTTAGATAAAAAAGACATCAATATAATTAACATTTCTTTCGTCCTCTCTTCTTTTTTCTTTTCAGAATTTCTTTGATTGAGTCATAAATACCTGTAGGAGCTGAAAGATCACCATATAATGGATCATACCAACTAGTGCTGTCTGTTTTCCATGGTTCTCTATCAAGATCCTTTGCACAAAATTTAAATACTTCTGATAATGACAATTCAATTCTTAAACTTGGAGGGGGTGTACATGTGAAGTATAATATGCCAGCAGTATCGGACAATGGCTCCTTGTTCCACCATTGTCGATGAGAAGACCCCTCGGCTTGGGCTGATTGTCCTTGCTCTAAGTAAGAATCTAAGACTTTTGTCTGTCTTGCTCTCATCTCAGCTTCTTCAAGAATTTCCCCTATTTCAATAGCAGTGAATGCTGATTCATTGGCACTCTCATTAGGGCCATGACTGGGGGGAGGTGGTGCTTTTTCAGGAGTATACGGTGGCAATGGTGGTGGGTAAAGGCTGCTGTTTGTTTGAAGATGGGGTTTCTCAGAAGTGTCATTCACCTTATGTGGTGTAATGGATGAGCTATTTCCAACCCCATTCATAGGAGAACTACACATTATCTTTTTGTCTTCCAAGTGACCATGGGTATCTTCTATTTCCATGTCATCCAAACCTGTTCCTCTGTTAGCATTATTACTCGTCCTTTTAAAATTATCCTGTGATGGAGCTTGAAGAGGTTGCATTGGAGAATTGCCAGCATGAGATCTGTTGTGCTCAAAGAAACGCCATTCTTCAAATGGAGGCATCCCATAATCAATAGATCTGTCAATAACACCTTCAAGAAAATTAAATTTGTGATTTTGTTTCAATAAAGTATAGTGCAAATAGAAAGTATAATAAATTAAGAAAAGTCAACAAATAATATTTGGGAAAAGACAGTTATTAGTAGGATAATTGCTACTCATAGAACTTATAAGCATTGAGCTTATTTCAAGGATTTAGAGATAGTCTTAGCTCTTGTAGGAAAGCAAATAAACTTTCATGTGTAATTCATTTGGCCAATTAACCAAAGTTGGCAAAAAGAATTCTAGAAGGAATAAGTTTATGATAGTATGTAGTTCTAACAGGAAGGATCAATTCTTTTGTCTAATTTTGACTTTTGGAAAGGAGAATAAAAATAATAATAATAATTCATATATTTGCAGTAGGCCTGTCTTACTTTGTTGTTTTGAAAAATAAAGAAATAGGTGCTTAAGTTAAATAAAATATCTTTCGGTGATTCATCGCAACTAAGGAAGATAAATTTTTATCAGCTATGTCTAACGGTGGAATGAGGTAATTTAGAGCCAAAAATAAAATACTTTATTTGTCAGATTCAGACAACTAGACAATGTTTATGACTATTTTCACTTGTCTTTGCAGTTTACAAATAGGGTTTTGTTTGTGAAAGTTATAAGAGGAAACAAGGTTCACCAAATGGCAAAAAGTAACATCATTAAAGATAGAAAAACAATACCTTCTTCCATTGGAGAATTGAAACCAGGGTATTGAACCTCATGAGTAACATTTTGCCCTTGTATTTCACCTTCTTCTCCATCATAACTATCTTGAATTTGACCTTCTTTGCCATACATCAGAAGACCTGTTGAAGTTGACTTAACATAGCCTGGTGGATACCCCAGAGTCCTCATTTTATAAATATATGGTGGCAGCTCATCTTTGCCAATACATAATGCTTCTCTCAGATTTTCACTGATGATTCCAGCTTTAAATGACTTGAACCTTTCCTGTTCACCATCATGATATCTTGAATCATTACTTGGAGAGCCCCCAAACTTGCTTACAAAATCTTGTCGGTTTGTATTTATTCTGGCCATATCTTTTGGTTGGTCACATTGATTTACATTATGATCACCAAGGCAATTAAAACAATATTTTGACCTCCTCTGCCTTACAAATACCTTCTTACCGTCATCATCTATGACTGGAAGGGCATTGAAGAAGACTTGATCATAAACTGGGATGGCCCAAACTTCAGTTATCCCTGGATTGTGTTCAAGCAATGGGAGCCCTGTTCTGTCAATGCAGAAATCAAAGTAGTAATGTACAGCGCTATAGATGTGTGGCTCAACAGCATCTTTTGATGCATTCTTGGCAATATGCAATCGTTTGCCTTTCGAGCTTACAGTAAAAGCTCTCAATGGTATTGCAGACTGTTGTGTCTTAAGGTCTTGAGTTAAAGCCAATTTGCCCTCCATATTCCCATTATTTGAAAACAATATATTGAGCATTGATTCTTCGACATCTTTCTTCAAAGCAAATGACATTTCATTATTTAGCAAAAGCACAACAGCCATGGGCATTGTTGCTGTTGAACCTCGTTCCCAAAGGTTTCCCTTCTCTAAAAAATTCTGGGGTCCACACAATCGCTTTATCACTGCCTTGAGTTTATTGTTTTGCTCCTCAAGCTGATTTATATATCTATCTTTCTGTTCCATGAGCTTGGAAAGCTCTTCTGGGAGTTCCATCGTTGGTAGGCCATCGTCTCCAACAATGCAGTCTGAAAGTTTCCGTTTTCTACTTTTCTTTGATTTATTTCTAACTGTTGGCTGCTCTTCGAAGTTACCAAACAGAAAGTTTTCGTCCATTATAGATCCCTCCATGATATGTGGTCCTGTACTCTCTCTGATAATCTTTGTTCCGGACAAGAAGTAACTCGTGTTACTTCTGGCTACACTAGGCCGCCACCGTGCCACCTTAAAATCATCTATTGCATTTTCAGGCCGATAAAGTTTTAGAAAAAAGCAATTATTCCTCCACTTGAAACAAATTCAACTTTATTTCTTTATAAGAATGAGAACGTTTACATATCAACGGTTCTATTAAAGTCCTCTGGCCATTTCATCTCGTTGCAATCTTCTTTCGCAAATATGAATTTGTGATAAGAGTAATTGAGGTGAATCGAAGTATGGAAAGGAGGCCAAGATCCGAAAGGCGCGATAAGCGACTTGAACTGGACAGAAAAAACAAGGTATGTTACGAGCAATGCTGCTGTCTTAAAAGCCGGGCACTAAGGGTCACAATGCTATTATCTCATTACAAAAAGTTGAAATGTTATAGGAAGACTTATAGTGACGATGTTTGTACCTACCCCCCAGCAGGAGCCGTACCGTAAAAGTAGGCTAGGCAGTGGCGGAAATTATGGGGGTTTGGGGGGCTCGGGCCTTCGTCGGATAATTGACAACCATTTAACGTGTCGAATTACTCCAAGAAAACGTTCTGAAAAGGAATTTTAAACTAATCTAAGGGGCGTAATTGCCAAATTTTCTGTTCGCTTCGCTCGCAGGTGATCCACGTTTCCTTTTTTTACCCCAGGGGCCTTTATAACCTCTCTGTTCCTTTTTTGCAAAATTTGAACATAGCATAGCTGATGAAATATTAGCCATTACCAAATAATCAATCAAATAATACATGACCAAAATCAAAACTGCTTGTGAATTGTGTATTTAATTTCAATTCCGTAATGATCAGCCAAAATTTCTATCGGATTCTTCTGAACAAAAGTTATTTTCAAACGTATTTCTCACTGACTAAAACAAGATAAAATGCATAAAATGAACGTACGACTTGTCAAAAGTGTTATCGGTCTACCATTTGTATCACCAATTGTCTTAGATGAGATATCAATCTGGATATCAAAAATCATAAATGGATTGTTCTTTTTGCTACTTAATTATCGCTTGGTCAGCAAAGATTTCTAAAGAGTCCTGGGCCCAAATGAAACGAAATGAAAGCCTGAATTTCCGCCACTGAAAGTAGGGGTGATCTCTATACTGTGGACATACTCTCCCAATCAGTGACGGATTACCTAAATGATCTACGGAGCCTAGACCCCCGGCAAAGAACCTAATTGGCCCTGCTAAAAATGTTTTTGGTATCTTAAGTGAAAGGCCGCGTACTTTATGAAACAAAACATTTCAACAAAATTAGGTTCTTTCAAAAATATGCTGCGTTAATGGGAACGCAATGCAAAAAACAGATAGCTGTTTATCCCGTTTTTGTTTTAACCCAAGATTGTGGAAAGGCTGCCTCAGAACAAACGTTGTCTTTTTTCTTTGATAAATTAAAAGCAAGTTCATTTATTTTATCTTCCTATATTGAATAAAGTATGCTATGGAAAATATTTTTTCAATAAGAATCAACTTTCCATAAAATGGAGAAACAACATCTAGAAAGAAGATTGAGGTGACAAAAACATTTGAATGCATTAGCTGAAACGCTCAAATTGAACTTGAATGTTCTCTATTGTAACTCATACATGCAGATTCAAATTTTAGAAGAATTACGTAAGATACCATACCCCCTTGGCACTGGCACTGGTACTGGCACCGGCACTGACATTGGCACTAGCACGGGAACTGCCACTGCCACTAATATGCTAAAAATTAAAATGTTAGTCCTTTCCACGGCCCTTGGAATGGGTGAGACGCTTATTGGCAAGATAAAACTTTCACTCCATGGCAAAACAAGAAAAAACAGCGAAAAAGTAGCCTACGGCGCATAATTGAAAGATTCGGTTCCAGGTGGAGCTTGCCTATTATTCGTCCAGTGAGTCAGTGCAAAACGATTGCCCTTATTTTGAGCCAATGAGAAGACCGACGAATGAAGTTTACTTGAGGAAAGTATCAAAAGGTACTTCTCTCATTTGGCCAGAAAATGTTGTTTTTGAAATATATTTAAGATCAGTACGATTAGTATTTCTATAAATGATTATAAAAAGTCAATATGCAGTATTTATATATCGACACTCAACGAAGGTTCTTCTTCAAAATCATCAATTTTCAATTGGGTATCCATTCAAAAGACAAAGAACTGCGACAATTTATAAACTTGAACTTATTTACAATCATTTTGATTGAATAAGAGCGGATGGGCAAACACGGTGATATACTGCGTTACACATATCTAAATATGCGTGAACCTAAACAAAGGTAATTTGAAACAAACTTACATTGATCGTAATTTGAAACAAGCTGCAATGTATAATCAAGAAAATCATTTCCATCCCCTATTTGTAACGAATACCGTTAATCCTCGAACATGCCCCTTAGGGAGCTTATTGATTTCGAATGTACCGGGTCCAATTTAGGGGTCTCGAATGAGGGGGAAGCGCTTACAAAAGCTACCTGAGATTGCCATGACAGCGTTGTCATTTCTTTTCGAGTACCATCTTCGATCTATTTAACGCCTGGGGCGTTAATTTAACTTTTCAAGTTTTCAGGGTGGGTGTTAATTAGAAAGGGGCGTTAATTGGGAAGGGGGCGTTAATTTAAAATAACATAAAACGTATAATAGGTTTTACGACACTGAAAAGCTATGGTTGTCGAGCAGTGTCCAGATCATTTCCCTAACGTGATCACACCTCGTGATTTCCACCTCACTATGGGCGAAAGTTTGGTCTTGTCAGGGACTCAAACCCAAGATCCTTGGATCTGTTGTCCGCGACCCGCCAAATCAACTTTCAGGTTGGAAGCTAAATCGAGATTCTTGCAAATAGCGCAAATTCAACACGGATGACAAGGTTAGTTCTCGTGTGTTGAAGGCAGTGCCGAACAAAGCAGTCATGGCTGATTGAGGCTAGAAGTCAAACTCCGTGTTTTGTGATAACGTAAAGCAGAAATGAAGTTACTTACCAAGAATGCTTATTCGTCTGCAGATTGAATAATCATTGAACCTTCCTTGTTGGCTAAAAATTGGGATGGAACGATGGAAGATAGCAGACATGATAATATTCTTGACATTTGCAAAATTTTCGCACTATGTTCAGTCAAGAAACTGCAAAAGCGCAGTTCGATGTTCGAAACCTTTTGGGAATGCATCAGCATGGGAATCCTAAATGTTTCATCAAGGGACAGAGGGAGGACCTTAGAAACAAAGCCGCGAAAACGATGCAAAGCGGCTGGTTGCACAAGCGAACGATCGCCACTATTTCATGTTAACACAGGCTGAAATGCTTCGCTTGCGCAACCGCATCCTCAAACCGCGATGTTGTGCCTTTCATAGCTCGATGCAAAGCTCCTAATAAACAAGCTTACTTTTGTATCCTCATAAAAAAACCAATGGGCCTTAGTAAAAGCTCAAAAAAAGTGCCGCTGCATGATCTGGTAGTCTTGCAGTCCTGATCTGGGAGGATTGTAATATCCCTTTTAAGCTCTAAAGGACACTTTAAATCATTTAACCTTGTTTCCAGAACAAGCAAATGGTCCTTTTTGCATGGAATTATCAGCTACAGTTTTGAGTGCCATTAGTCTTTTGGCCCAATTACTATTTTTCCATTGATGTATACTTCTTTTACCAAACCAAGACTAAAAAACCGACCAGATAAATCTACCTACGGGCTGTGTTGCCACTTCAGGAGTTCCATTCTGGATTAGAGGAAAAATAGAAAGAGTTGTCCTTTTAAACACAGTGTTGGTGGTGATACCTGCAACCAAACATGGGGAAAGATTAGCATTTTTGCCAAAGCTGGTCAAAGAGGATACTGCAAGAATGACTGTGAAAGCCAATTCTTTTAAAATGTTTAGAATGTAAAATTTTCCTTTGTTTTGACAGTTGTCCGCACGATTGTAACTATGACTAATAAGAGACTTGAAAAAAATATTCAAAATTTCTAATTAAGTAGAACTAAGGATAGAACGAGTAGAATGATTTTTGGACTTTCTGTCTGGAAATTTCTTACATTACCTTCCAATTATCACTTGGGACACATTTGTCCTTATGGTTCGGAATGGGTCAAATTTAGTGATTTCTAAGCTGACAAAAGTCGCTTAAGAGTAAACTGAAAACGTCAGTTCTTAACTTTGTTAAAAAGACGCCATAAACATCACATTATTTGCAAGGAGAAAAATTCAATCAAAATTATCTTGCTAAATTTTTGTAAATTCATTTTGAATTACTCTCAGACATAGATATTCACAGCAAAGGACCTGGCTTGACTTGCTTCAAAATGCAAAAAGAGGCACACAAAGCTAAAAACGGTGTGATATTCATTTTAATGGTGATGCTGAACAAAGATCAAATTCTTCAAATACGTTTCGCAACATGCTCTGTTATAAAGATACTTAATAATCTTAAGCAGACAACAAAATAAATATTTATATTTTACTGGGAGCGACCGCACAACATTCTACACATGAAAATAAAAGCTAAGTAAAGTTAACAGAGCTAAGTAAAATAAAACAGCAACAAATTTGAAACGAATTCGATAATTCATACCTACTGCGTGAACGCAAGCCCTCAAGATCTAGGACGCAAGCAATTCTGAGGGTAGCTGCAAAAGAGGTTAAGGTTGCTACTTCCCATGCAGAAAAATGATGGGCACTTAACCCTCTACATGGTCCATGTTCCTCAAGACCACAACAATACAACTACTGGCCCCGTGCCATGCACCAGAGGTACCGAATTATGGGGTGTTAGGGCGTCCCCTAAATTATAGAAAAGGGCAGCCCAAAAAGGAATACTAAAGCAGAAGATTCTTTCCTGGTTCCCGTCCAACGTAGAATTTCATCTCCTCACTAGCAGTTATTAAGAAAAGACGATTCATTCTCATCGATAGTTGTTCCACTTCAGGAAACAATCCCAAAATTGCTTGCTTTTTGCTTCCCTACTGTGATTAGGAAAACAGATTTTACCTTTGAGCAAAGAGAAAAAGTCTCTACGAGCAACTTGCCAGATTCCTTGCCAGATAATACATAATGTGAGAACGGGGAGGAATGGCAAACTGACAACCATACGTTTGCCTCACCTTGTCTAGAACGAAAATAACAGGAAGGAGCAACATTTACTCTCGATACATTGTGTTTATTGATAAACTGCAAAAGTTTCCTAATGAATCTTGAGAAACTTATTCTGACAACTGTTACGTTATATCTAGTTAAATTTTTACGTATATGAAACGCTGCATTATACTCAAGATTGTTTCAATAGCAGTGGGGCTTTGACCTCAAACAGGAGTTTTTAACCGCTTTTACACACAATTTAAGTGCATCTATAATGCGAGGGGCTAGCCAAACAGTACCAAAAGGATCGAAATTATTCTGTATGTTTGTGTCTTCTGTCTACATAAAAATAATAAAAGGCAGTATTAGGAAGGGCAAACAAAACTTTATAATCCTTTAATTGAGATGAAAGCAGAATATTTTAAAAGCATATAGGTGCAAACGTCAGGGACGAAGTCGCAGGGGGTTAAGGAGAAAAGTCATGAAAATTTCGCCACTTTGTTGGGATATTGGGAAAAATTCCAGCTTAAGCCCCCCCCTTGAAATTTAACTCCCACTGCACCCCAGGTAGACTTGGCCTAAATTTGTGGTAAGCATAACAAAACTCCAAACAAATATATAGCTGATTTTATTGTTAGAAACAGACATGGTTGGCAAAGGTCCTTAATCCTATTGCCTTAAGGAGTATTGGAGCCATGCACTCGGCCTCAAAATGGGTAAAAAAAACTACTCCTGCTAACATCCTGCTAACATCCTGCTAAACATTCAATATTAAAGCTTAATACATACACATACCCTTATTATAAGTAACGAAGATTTATAAACTATTTGCATGTCAATTTTACAATTAAAATACCTGTATAACTGTGATCATGCATTAAAGAATTATATTTTCATCCTATCACTTTGAAATAAAAGTCCTTAGAAATGCACTGTAAAATGACAATATCTAATTGTTGCTGTGATAGTGTTGTATAAAGCAACCTTATCTGGCTTGTGTCATTAACTTTAAAATCGAAAACATTTTACTTAATACATAGCTGATGGAAGCTTATCAAGTCACAAAATACTTTTATTGTGCTTTCTGTTGTAAATGGTAAGAAAAGGACTTTATTTTGAAAGAAGCTTCTTATCACAGTGTTCATGGTTATATTTTGTTTTTCAAACACTCACACTGTAGATGTTATTAGTAACATACATTTTTGAGATAGCCAAACCTGAATAAATTTTATTATTATCTTGTTAGGGATCAGTAAATAATTATTATGGATTCAGGGGAGGGTGGGGTTTAGTTATATGCAGATCAACAGAGGATCTGAAATTAATGTTGAAATAGGTTGGGGCCACAACATTAAATCTAATCACTAAATCGAGCACTAAATCTAAACAATTGATGTTGAAATAGCTTTGGGCTGTCACATGACTGCTTGTGCAGGTTCCATCCTTTCAAACCTCTAATTGGTTATTTTAGAAAAGATGGTACTACATTAAGGCAGGCCTGGCCGTTTGTATTTTTATAGGTGAGCTGTGAATCGCTCCCCTCATTTGCTGAGGCGAGCTAAATCAGTAACACATAGAATGTAATTTAAAGACAATCGACAGATGACTTAATAAGCCCCTTTAGTATCTGTCGGTTGCCTTAATATAATTGCCTCAGTCAGGAGTGTTATGTTTTACTCCTTTCAATTTGTATTTGCTTTAACCGTGACTTAGGCACCCCCTTTACTTGAAGTATTTGAAAGAACAGACTCTCTCCGTTTTATGTAAAGCTGGCACAACACAAAAACAACAATTCTCTTGCAAAACAATCTT